AAAAAAAAAAATACTACTTATAATGAAAACAGGATTTTATTCCGCCTGTCTTTGGAAAATAGTAAGCATTCATAGTTCTTCCGAGAATATAAATTCTGTGATGAGCACTTGAACTGGCTTTAAAGATATGTTGTTATTTTACTAGTTGTTTGTCGTTGTAAGCCTCAAACGTATGTGGTTACTATTTCTTGATTGACGTTTGGTAAATAATATTCCATTTGCTGAAAGAACCTGTTGATTTTGTTGAATCATCTAAATAACCACATAATATATTGTTAATTGAACCCAGAGAAGTGATGACTAAGATCGTAGATGCTGATTAAACCAAGGATATCACGAAGTCTTTCTTTCATTTTAATCGACTCATTAAAATTGAAGCGGATCCCGTACCCATCTAAGTAGCGAGCGCATTGGTCCCTTGTTAAGCCATCAATGTCTTCAACAGATCTAATTTCTGGCAAATCATCATCTGGCTGAGTCCCGCTTAGAAAAGGAACGATATTAATAGGAAATCCCATTGATCTTAACTGGATATTTTCCGTTTTTCTATTTCTCACATCCATTCCGTTGAATCTCGTTTCCATTCTGTCGAATCTCGCTTCCATTCTGTTAAATCTCGTTTCCATTCTTGAAGGGAATGCATTCTCATCGGTCAGCCAATTCTGAAACCATCGCGGTGGTTGATCTTCAGCAGCCTCTTCTGCTCGTCTTAATTGATTAGCAACATTTTGAATAACTTGGATTCGATGAATCATGTCAACTTCATTCTGAAGCTGTGAGCTTTTCACAGCAAATTCTAATTCTTTTGTTTACCGATTTACGTCTAAAAAAGTTTCATTCTGTGGAGGAGAGATGTTGAAATCGTTCGCATAGATATTTTCCATTTCTAGAAATTGGTAAAAGTTGAGTTATGTACGATGATATGCTGCTAAAATATAAACAAAGCTGTTTGTTATTTTTGAATTGTCGTGGTGCCACTCGTTAAAAGCTGCGAGCGCACTTCCTTGTAGAAAAAATATCGTACTGATACTTTAACAGTGGAATGACTGACGACACCAAACAATAATTATGCAATATTTGGTTCACTTTGTTATAAATGTTAACAAGTATTAAGCTAAGCTATGCTATATTTCACTAATCATCATTTCTGCCTTTTACTGTCAGTGTCACGACTGTAATTTTTACGGTTTATGAGAATAGATATTGGTGTAAAAGATAAGTAAAATTATAGGTTTGTTTGTTTGAATTAAACGACTTGATACTACGTTAAAGAATAGAAATAACGACTAGGGATTTGGTTAACTAATTAATTTGAGAGTAGAAAACGATCTTATTTAGCCAGACAAGTCGAATCTTCCAATCTGGAGAATTCGACTGTGGATACATAGTTTACATGTCTTCGCTATAACAGCTAACGTAATCCATCTCTTTGTAAAACAAAGTCTCTTTTTTTATAAACTTCCGTTCCGAAAGGCTTTCCGATTTGTTGAGATCGTATTTTCTTTGTTTTGTTTACCATTTGTAATATCTCATCCTTTAGGCTTATTGCATTTGCTAATATTTAGCAATATGCTCTTATGATAGAGTATTGTAATATATATAATATAAAAAAGACACCTTTCGTGACAGTAGAAATCTCACACGTTACGAGAATGTTTATCATTTAACGAAAAGAAACGCAATTAGCAGAAGTTGTATAAGGATGTCTTTGATTATCGTTACAGTGCCAAATCTTATAGATAGTGGGGTACAGCAAATATGTACTAAACTTCATTTTGCAAAGTATCGTCACGTTTCACAAAAGAGAAAGAAATGCCTTTTCCCATCTCATCGTCGCATTCTCTTTTTGCACAAAACAAACCTCAATTGGAGCAAGAAAGAGAGCTACCTAATGCTAATATAAGGGAAAAACTGCTAAACTCGGATACATAAGACTTCATGTTCATTTATGAGTGAAAAGCGAGAATGGACGAACGAAGCTTGGAAAAATGACAATAACGTAGGAAAAATGAAACCCAACGACACCAATTTCTCTGAATACGACATTTTGAGGAAAAGCTCAGTTCAATTGGATTTGCCAAGTTACTCAGAAGTTTGTTATAACAGTGGAGATGACTTGGAGAAGGGTTTGTTTACACCTATTCCTCCTACCTATAAACAACTTCAACTGAGTAATACAGACGAATCTGATGATAATCAAG